CAACACACATTATCGTTATGGCATGTCTGTACATGAACTTTTTCGGGACCATCGTAGTTGAGTAATTTTCGCCGTTCGGTCGTTTCTTGCAGACATGCCCAGCCCGCATATAATTTCCCACGTTTATCCAGCTGCTTGTCTAGTCCAAGGTTGATTATTTCATTCACTGCTTTTGCTATGGGCAGGAGCAATGAACGGTAGGCAGTGTATGCGGGGATGATCATGTGCAGTATGTCGGAGAGTGCATCACGAGCCTTGTCGTTGTCCATGAATGGTAAGTACCGTTCGGATTTGAGCAATCCTTTGATAAGATCTGACCGAATGGCTTCCGACATCCACGGAATGCCATCATTTTCTTGCATACGAATCCGCAGAAACAGCGATGCGTTGGAGATACACCTTGCAGCATATGTGAGGTTTGCTCGATCAAAAGACCGTCCGACGATGAGGTGGATAACGTGCGTGATTTTTACTATTGCTCCTAGGTTTAGTAATGCCCAGCGCATGTCATCGCGGAATGAAAGTGCTGTAACGATATGCACGTCCCATGCTATACACTCTGGATCCAGGTGCTGCCGAGCCATTTCTTGCGACAAATGCATGAGCGCAATCCTCGACGCGGTGTCTGGCCGTCCGTCGAAAGGAAGCAAAGCTTTATCCCAGTCGATTGGTGATTTCGTCTCGTGCGATATCAGGAAGCAGGAATTGAGGACAACAGATTCACGATACGCATTGAATTGCCCCGTGTGAGATGAGAATCGAGCATCCGTGGTTTCAAGGTTCCAAAGGGCAAATATCAAGGGCATTATTTTAGTATCAGTGACCACCTTCTTCGACCAACCACTCAGCATCCTATCGCGGGTTAACGCCAAAAAGGTCACGACGGCGGTCTTGCAGTCCCGGCGGGTGTTGATGGCAAATGACTCCGCTTGGATGAATTCTTCATAAACATATAGGATCCAACGGCGAATGTCACCCCAGTGACTCAGCAGGTCTGCGATGAGGCCACTCGCCATCTTATCGTCGGATATCCAGATGAAAAATGTAGAACCGATAAAAGTGAGGGCAGCACATGGGGCTTCTACATCATCGACTGATGGATCTTCGAAGTATGGAATATGCATAGCGTCAAGCAAGAGGTAAGCAACTTTAATCATGCGCTCATACTGGCTCGGGAGGCAAGCATGATCTGACGCAAGGGTTGCTAGTTGCGCGATTGCTTGAACAGATCCTTGTGTTGCATTTGCAATGAGGTTCTTGCATGGACAGCGTAAGATATTTGCAGAGCGACTGTCGTGTAATGGCTTACCTCGAAATTCATCTCGTTGAAGCGCGTGGTGAAAGGCATGCCAGTGGGCAGATGCATACTTATTGTGTCGATAAGTAATCTATATGCCAGTGTGAACATAATACTTCAAGCCGCGGAGTTCACAAATACGTAAGCAAGCCATCTATACACACCACGTGATGGACGCGGCGCCGTGACTGACCAATTAATTGTGACTCGCGGAAGAGATGCCTTGTCCCCCAACCAAGTTTTCACCATGATGCTAGACTCTCGGTCGATACCAGGAGATAGCAGCGAAGAAGACTTTGAGTGGGAGGAGGTTGATGTTCCTCAGCAAATCCATGAAACTAACTCAGAGTTAGAACTCCAGTTGGAAGGACCGGCACCACGAGCGAATATTGAAATCACCCTACACCCGGGGACGAAGAAGGATGATTCTAAGTTGCTTTGTATTCTTTACATATGATTGCGTAGGTGCTGACATACGAGCATCTAGGAAGGCAGCCGCAGCCGCAGCACGAGCTGAACGCATCTTGAGGACTGGAACTCATAAAGTCCACACAGTGTGTCTTCTTGCAAATGCAAGAGTACGGAATAAGTGGCTGAACGACGAGGTTCTTCACGTAAGTGACTTTTTCTCTCCAATTGATTCGACTGTCAATACCTTTCAGGCTCGATTGCTCTCCTTAACACCACTTCATCTTCATAATGGTTTTGCTCTAATACACAAGTCTCGTACACCCGACCAGAATAAGCGAGGTCGATTATTCGAGGCCGCTGTTACGCGCTTGGCGGAATGGTGGACGGGCACGTTCTTCAGCGTTCTTCCTACAGGACACATCAGAAATAGGACTTTCGACGAGAACGAGCGTGATCTTGCCCTACGAGGAAACGCAATTTTTGAAGACGAGGAAAGCGACGACGGGGAACGTATTCGAAGTCCAAATAGTCTTATGAAACACGCCTTGATGCAAACTGGTTCTCGTGATACAAGTGCACAACTGTTCACTGCGTTGTGTCGAGCATTGGAGATCCCTGCTAGATTGGTTGTTAGTCTTCAGAGCGTTCCATGGCAGTCTAGTGTGGGAAAACCCAAATTCAAAACCAGCGAGAAAGGGCGTCCACCATCTAGACAGAAGGGGAAGCAGAGAGCCAGGGATACTGATGTTTTATCGCAAGACAGCGACTTCGAAGGAGCAAAAGATATCAACGCCCAGTCACCGGCAGAAGTTCTAGGTAATACATCCCCTGGGGAAGCTTCGGCTCAAGCCAAAGGAAAAGGGAAGGCGCAGCCGGTCATCAAGCTCAGGAAAACCAAGAATTACTCTAAAAATCGAGCGAGTACCAGAGGTATGCTAGATATCTCAACCTTCGACACAACAGAAGTCATGCTTGTGCTTGAATAGCTCCCTTTGATCCTACAGTCACTCCTCCTGTGTTCTGGACAGAGGTTTTTTCGCGCGCAGATGGCCGGTGGCTTCCTGTCGATCCAATTCGTGGTTTCGTCAACAAACGCCATGTTTTTGACCCTTCCGCTGAGAACACATTCAGGTCTGGAGTACCACAAGAGAATCGCATGACTTATGTGGTTGCCCTAGAAGAGGATGGTTTCGGCCGTGACGTGACAGCACGATATGCCAAAGACTACACCACTAAAGTGGCGAAGGTGCAAGGAGTTGGGATAGGCCGGCGAAAAGAGTGGTGGGATAGCGTCGTGCAGCTGGTGACCAGGCCCTATCGATTGGTGTGTCATGTCTTCTATGCTTGTAAATGTAGTCTCATGGATCATGTAGCAACGTGATGACACCGAGGATACGGAACTGCATAATCATCAGCTTACCGAGGGCATGCCCACCACACTTGCCGGATTCAAGGGTCATCCTTTGTACAAGCGTAATTTCACCTTCTTCACGCATCATACTAATTTCAAAGTCCAGATATGTCCTCTCACGGCATCTGAAGCGTGAGGAGGTTATTGATCCTCCTGTCGAGTTGGGCAAGTTCCGGGGCGAACCTGTATATCCTCGATCTTCGGTCATATCTCTGAAGGCCGCGGAAAACTGGATGCGCCAAGGGCGTGTGGTTCGAGAAGGTTGCCAGCCTATGAAGATGGTCAAGCAACGTGCTGTCACTATTGGCCGCAAGCGGGAAATGGAGCTTGCACTCGAGAAAGCAAGAACAGATAGCCACGGCGGAGATGGCCAGGAGGACATGCAAGGCCTATACGCAAGGTCCCAGACGGAGCTTTACAAGCCCCAGCCAGTCATCGACGTGTGTTTAGTCTTAATGACTCCCGGCACATGACTGATCTTCGTGTTCGCAGGGAAAAGTTCCTAAGAACGATTTTGGGAACATTGATCTGTATGTTCCGTCAATGCTCCCTGAGGGTAGTATTCATATCCCGTGTGCGTGATGAAATCGGCGATAGTTGCGACGCAGAACTTAATTCTGATCGTTTTCAGTCAAAGGCATTGCCAAAGTGGCCAAGAGGCTTGGCTTTGATTATGCAGAAGCAGTGGTGAGTCTTTCACTTGTACGATTACTCGCGCGCTGACAAGCCCTCCAGACTGGTTTTGAATTCAGGAATCAGAGAGCTATCCCGATAATTGAGGGAATTGTCGTGGCCGAGGAGAACGAAACTATCATAGTGGAGGTGAACTTGCCATATCACGGATCTTGTTGCGTCTACTGAACTCAACCTTGTCTACAGGCGTATTTAGAAGCTGAAAATGATGCAGAAGAGAAAGCGCATGCCAAACGTTTGGATCAAGTTCACAAGCGTTGGATACGTCTCGTGCAAGGGCTTCGGATTCGAGATCGTCTCCGCAAGCAATATGCATCCAATACAGATGATGCAACGCCGCAGCATTGGTTGGATACGCAGAATGCTGAGGCACATCAAGGCGAGCAAGTATGTTTCATTTCCATTCATATTTGTGATTTGGACGTGAACCTGATCTCTCCCCCCAGCAACCAGGAGGGTACCTCACCACCGCGGACGATGTGGTGAAGCCGTTTCATCTCCCAAAAGATCAACATACTGTTTTGCCTTCATCCTTGCTTTCTTCGACTACCGGTGACGATGGCGCCGAAATCGACGAGGCTGTACCCGAGCGTAGTGGTGCTGCGGTGTCTTATACACATCCCCGCGATTCGCCCCTTCATTTCGCCCAAGATGTGCAGATGGGCGAGGTATCCGCTGACTTGCCTTCTCGGCGGAGTAATGCACTGCCTAAGTCGATGCGCGAGCTGGCCGAAGACGACTTGAGGAGACAAGCCTCGGAGATCGCTCCTTCTGATGAACCTGAACGTCGGTCGCGTTCTACTCCCACTGCGAGGATAATGAGAGGCGGGCGAGTGAAGACGCTAATGAAGAGTGGCACTAATACCCCTTCCAAGGGCAACTCGTCTATAGAGCGGAAAAATGGAAAGAAGCGGATCAGAGATGACAGCGATAGCGCATCAGAGGACGATCATATCGACAATGCAGCTTCTACACGTGATGGGAATTCCAGTAAGGGAAACCCACCTACGACGGGCAGAGTCTTGCGGCCTCGCCCGCAGAAGAATACTGCTAAATTGCGTGAAGAAGCTGAGTTAGAACGAGCATTTAGAAGAGCGATAGCAGAGTAGATCCGTTCGAGGGGCTTCTCCGTACTTTATAGCTATATGATTTTTATCGTCACAATATACAATAATATTACTCTTGCATTGCGACAGATTTTGAAGGAGCTGTGGGTACCAGCCGAGCAAAAGTTAAATACGATGTGTGACCTCGGACGTCGGGAGACACTTTTGAGACAGAAAGTTTGATTGGTGATGGTTGGTTGGCAGATTGGCCAGGGTCTACCACAGCATCCGGGATATCGCGGATACCAACATCCTCCTCTCCCGATTCTTGAGTTCTAAGCCTTTTCCCTCCCACATTGTCAGCGTCCGTTTCCTGTAAATCATCCCGCTTTCTTTTACTCGACCTTGCGATCTGATGTTGGCGTTTGTCTTCACGTTTTTGTTCTAATTTTTTGAGCTTCTCGACCGCTTGGGTCAGAGGCTGTAGTGATAGTTGGTGAACTTCGTGAGGTCTCAGTAACGTCTCAAACATCGTGATGTCTAACAGAGGTACACGGGTGAGACTTTCACGTAACATTCATCATCAAAAAACATACCCGTGAAACCTGAATCGTTTAGGGCGCTAACTGTCCGAAGAACTTGCTCCGTACATGGACTAAAACAGCATATACGAGTGGGGCTGGTTTTCTTTTCATCTCCGAGTAAATTGGATATGTTGATTGCCAACGAACAGTGGCGTACCTTCAATGCTTTCTTGGCGTGCTCAATAGCGTCCCACGGCGCCGGAAGGTCGAGGAATACTGTAGAAAAAGGGTAACCAGCTCGGGCGATCAATCTGTATGATAAGAAAGAGACATGCCTGCATCAGCCGTGTCTTCAACTGTGAAACCGTCCTTGCACACGTTGCGGTGTGTGAGGGTGACAATGTCTGCCATTCCGTGGAGCGAAAACTCCTCCCTAGAATGTGATTAAATTCTTTACTATGTCTTAAAGTAGAAGGCCGCATACCTCGCCTTGTTTGCACGGGCCTCGTGAAATTCGTATGACCAAAGATGTCCTACCGACCCTATCGTCCTTGCGATGGAGTGGGAGAACGATCCCGAACCAGTACCTGCATGATGTACGTAGTGAATTAAGGGTTCACCCCACGGAGGTCAAATTTCCGATTGGTACAGGCGTTTAGGAAAAGGCAATGAAAGGGATATGAACATAAAAGAGATAGAGAATGAGTTTCAATCTGAGCCACGTTGTTAATCTGCTCATCAATCGCGAGAGGACACATCAATGCGGCGTAGTAAACAAGGATGAATGAAGACTAGAATGATGATCCACGTGTCTTTTCTTCGCTGTGACCAAACTAAAAAAGTGGCGCAGCATCGTGGACGATAGCCAAGAAAAAACAGCGTTTTCCGCTATAAGTCCAATTTTTAACGCTTACCAGCTTCGATGACACTGCTTCCACGTTTGATGTCAAGCCATGAGGTGATAAACGCGATATCGGCAAGATACAAGATCTGAGTACGATGGGGAAGTGCCATCGTCCAAAGCTCCGGAGTCGGTCGAAGGACATGGATGAATCCTTTGCCATTGCGAGATCCGACTTTGGACCCATAGGGAATTCCAACAAGGTCTGCATGCCGGTAATATCCAAACCTGGAATTAAGATCTTTCCCTGGAGTGATGAGTAAAGGTTGAATGAGTTCTCGAGTCTGACATAAATCAATTACAGGTATGTGAGCTACCCCAAAACTGCAAAAGGTGAGGAACGTGCCTGCCAGATGATAACGAGGTCGCCTGCGGCGACGTCTCGAGCATTCGACCACATCTAATATATTTGGCTCAAGAAGAAGAGCACGACTGAGCCAATGACAAGGTGACTACAAGCTTGTGCCGGGTCGAGATTGAGTGGGCTATTACCTGTGTGAGAGATCTGGTGAACCCACGATCATGAAATTAAATGCTCAAGGCACAAACTGACAGCAAAGGGAGCACTAGACGTGGATTCCGCTTCTAGTCCTAGGCGACTCCGATTCCCACTGAGACCTCCCCGCGTTGTTCAGGCGTTGCACGGCTTGAATGAATCTGGAGGCTGGCGTATGAACGAGGATAATAATGTTACCTTATGTTGTTCAGATCCATCGTGTTTATTACGGAAGCATATCCTTTCTGGAATCAATGATAGTAATACTCAACTAATACCACTACATAATGACACTCAACCCAATCACCTCAATCTCCAAAAAATAATACCATGACTCTGGTAATTCTGTTCAAGTGTCCTCGGGTTTTGAAACCCTAAGTCTTCCCTGCAATGGAGAGATAAAAGCACTGTTGACCCCCGACCCTCCGTAGCCTCACTTCTCTCCGTCACTGGTTCTGACGGTATTTGCTGGTATAAGAAATCAGTGTATCGCCTATTCCATCCGCGCCCACACGCGAACCATACAGGCCCTTCTTTTTGGTCAAAATAATCCATCAGACCGAGGCTATGGAATCAGAGACACCACGCGTTTCATTCAGTACGTGCTTCCTTACCTCAGGCTGTACGACACCAGCTCAACGTTGTACGAAGTCTCCATCGTAGACTTCTCGGAGGATGTAAGTTTAATAATTTACTGCGTCTGTCGCTGGTCCCGAACAAAGTCCTTTTGTCTAGGCTCGCTGGTTGTTCCTTACTGAATCAGTCTCCGACCTGCTAGGTACGACAATTGCCATTTAGTGTTCCTCTGACGTTAACGTTGCTGTAGGCTTTGAACCCCGCGAGTTAATAGGCCGCCCTGCTTTGGAGCTTGTACATCCAGACGAGTTCTCTCAGGTAAAGCAGATGCACTAGTACGTTCGCGGATAATATTATTCGCTTGCCGATGAATGACCAAATCTTGCATCGATTAGTGATACTATCCGCGAAGATAAAGCCGCTGCTCTGGCATATCTTCGATTAAAGCATAAAGATCCCTTCAAAGGATACATTCTTTGTGCGGTCGTGAGTAGTAGTCTCAATCCTTTATTTGACGTGTTTGATTTAAACTTCGGTTCAGTCTCGGACCGTTGTGCACAGCGTTGTGGTAGGCAGCGTATCCTTTGCCACACCAGGTGGAAAGGCGCTCCAGAATACATCCACTGCACAAGAAGTTGAAGTTGTCACACCTTCTGCGAAGAACTTTGAACTTAGGGTAGGCATCATACTTTGTTCATCACTGCTTGTCTAAAAATGACTAGCGATGGGGCGACCCGTCACCGATGACGTCTAGTCCTAGTATACCCGACCTCGCTTCACGGACTGCCTGCGCTTCCACAGACTCGGATACCAGTGATGAGTCATCCAGCCGCAGCCGAAGCAAGAAACCAACAATAATTAGTTTCAATCCGATGCCCTGTCAGTCCCTAAGGTCGGCACTTATCCTTGACCGGTTCTCGATTCATTGCACGGTCCTCTACTGTTCCAATGACCTTCTCCTGTCAACTACCAGGGTTCTGGGTCGGAGTTTCTTCGATTTTGTCACTAGTCGCACAGAACATAGCGTGCGCAGCTGGATCGATGTCATTAAGTCATGGGGCGTCAACGATCGAGGGCAACCGAGCGATGGCGGCTTCGGTTTTGGTAAATTTGTGCTGTTACTTGCTGGCAGAAATTCAAGGTATTGACCGGCTTTCTCCGCCCGTATCTCGTTCTCAACTGTATTGAAGGGGTGAAAATGAACAAGATGCGCCGCTATCACGGCGCCGCCTCGGAGACGCAAGAATCAATTACCGAATGCCGTCAAGCCCACGTTGCGCCTCCCATTCATCGCCCGGGACGTCATCCCGTTCACGGCCACCATCTTCCATGTCTTCATCCTCCTCTGATCAAGAAATTTCTGTTGACGCTGTTTTCTCTGGCCACTCGGACGGAATTTTACTGGTACTTCGGCCAACTTCAAAAGTATGATTTCTGGCATCTACGTATTCTCTCTCTCTCACCATTCTTTCTGCACGTATATCGTGTGATTGTGTTTTTGATACCATGTTTACCTTCGTTCGTCTGTACACTTTTTGTTGTGTCTTTTTGCTTTCCTGATGTACCATTTGAATGCGTCTAGTGCGTCACAATTTGGAGCTCATAATTTATTCTCGCGGAGCCTTCGCTGCAATAACTTCCTCAACGCCATCGGTTCTTTGTTGCAGGTATGTTTATTGCATATTGTAACATGTGCTGGCACTTGAAACGACAGATCAAGTGTAATGACGTTCCCAGCTTTCTTGGCGTCTATGTTGCGCTCACAAAGCGCCTGAACGGCGTCCCGTGCGGCTTTTCACTTTGAGCCAGATCGGTACAGATGATTCACGTGCGTGGAAGGGATTCTGAAGATCAGGTTCACACTGGCAGGAATACAGATTCCTGATGGGGCCAGCATAGGTATTGCATAGCCTTACTGTGCTGTCAGCTCTTGTTCTTTTTGACAGAATCGCTACGGAATTGTCTGTTCCTGCTGATGATCAATACGCTAGCATGCTTTCTTTGAAACCTAAACCGGTATGTTTAAGCGATTATCTGGGTCTTTTGGTGGTGGTAGGCACAGGCACGAAACTTGAGCAGCAGTGCTATTTTTATCGTCTCTCTCACATGACGACTGACTCGGTCAAAGTGGCAGAGGATGAAAACTGAATAATGGGGTAATGAGAAAGGATTCAGAGGACTGAACGCATACCGGACAGCGCATCTATGACGGCGGATGGTTACTACACCACGACGGTTCTGTTCGGTTTGGTCCGAATAATGAAGAAGTGTGACTGCCAGAAATAGGAAAAAGGAAAGCGGTAGTGGCGTGGCCCAAGGTTCCGGGAGCAATAAGATGGTGAAATGATGTGGCAGACTCAACGCCGTGGCAGATTCGCCGTGGCAAAGTTGACAAGGGATCTCGAGAAAAAACACCAAATTCCGTTGTCGTCTTCAAGTTTCAAGTCGATAAATCTTAAAAGAAAATAGGGTGCACCCTTGAAATTATTTGATTACGAGTAACCGGAGATAAAGAGAGTTTCGAAAGGCTGAATCTGCCGTCAATGTGGTGGTTTGACGTTGACAAAAAAATTCAAGTCTTGTTGGGCTAGGCTGTGTAGTCGTGTTTGAGCTTGGTTGGATTTTACCTTTGCGCGCTTCTTGTGCGGGTCTCTCTTCCACTTTTCACACAAACTTCATGTCTCGCCGTCGCTCATCGTCAACAACGATGGGCCCACCCGCTGATGTCGTTATGGGCCCGCCGCCGCCGCCTCCATTGCCAGTCATCCAGCAACCACTACCGACTCCTCTAAAAGAAACTCAGGAATCGGCCTTGGATAAATATCGAAAACTAAAACGAAAGTTTTTCGAGTTGGAGGATGTGAGCACTTATCTTTCATCATAGTCTATCGAACTAACGAATTTGTCTCAGAAACATAAAGAGGCGCAGCACGAGTTAAGGCTCTCTGGGGAACGCAATGTGAAACTTCGGGAAGAACGGGAGTGCGTGTAACTGCAATATCGATATCTCATATGTTGGTCTGACTCTCTACTCCAGCAAGATGCTCGACCGCATTCGTGAACTTGAAACACACTCTGAGCCGAACATCTCGGGTGTTCCTTATCTGCCCTCCAGTGCCTTTCCTCGCTCCCTCTCAACTCTGAAAGCCCGTTCGTACTTTGTATCGAACCTCCGTCAGGCAATGGCGGAGGAAGAAGCTGACGATCATGAGGTTGATCCACTACTTACTTCGCGGCATGTCGGCCCGTTGGCTCGCAAGCGCGCAGAAGACGAACATCGAGACCGTGCTGAGGAGGAGGCCCGTGAAGCTCGTCGCCAACCAAAGCGACCTCGAGCTGCTGTTAAAGGGAAAGAGGCCATGGGCCAACCTCCCCATGGGCAACCCGCTATGGGCGTGGTTTCTGCTCCGGAAGGAGGTGGCCCAGGAACTCCTGTTCTTGTGTCGACCAAGGGCACTCGTCTTCGCCTGAAGCCTCCCGTGCGGCCTTCACCTAATGACCCTCTCCCTTCAAGTAATCCGGCGCACTCCCAATCATCACTATCTCCATTGTTATCTCCTCGCGACGAGCAGTCTCATTATGATCCAGTACGGTTTAGTGCCAATGGTGGCGGACAGCACCCTGCTTTGGTTCCTGTCCCTGGAAATACGCCTCCACATGTTGGTCCGTCTCCTTCGTTACCCCCGCACATGGGACTTCCCACTGCACCTCCTCCATCGTCTCGTGCAACCGAGGTTCAGCGCCATGCTAAGCCTAAACGTTTGAAGGCCCATACTGTTACAACAAAGAGTTACAGCATCCCTACTGTTCCACGTGATAAACAAGGTCGTCCAATGCTGCCACTCACCGTCGGCATCATGACAGTGAACCAACTAGGAGAGGTATGCATGCGAGAACATTTTCACACGGAGCGGTACATCTTCCCTGTTGGATATGAGGTGACACGGTGAGCAACCATCTCAATCAAAGTGATGCTCTCAATTAATCTCTTCGTAGGAAATATTCATCAACCGTGGATCCCACCGCAGAGGCTATATACACTTGCTCAATCCTGGATGGCGGAGATGGACCCAAGTTCAAGATCATCGCATCTGATGTCCAAGATCGTCCTCAAATCGCAGGCACCGCCACCGGTGCATGGTCTGCTATCGTGAAACAGGCCAATACTATCCGCAATCGCCAACACTCGAATTCTGTCTCGGGGCCCGACTTCTTTGGGCTAGGACAGAACACCATCAAGCACTTGATCCAGGAGCTTCCAAATGCCGATCGCCTGCGCGATTATGTATGGCAGAACTTTGTCGAGGGAGGGTGAGTAATATTACTATGGCCAGTGTAGTATCTAGAATTGCTGGAATGGGACGCGGACCAGCGCGTACCGCGGGCTGTACTATCGTTCATGCTGGCCGCTCTTCTTCTTTCTCGTCTCATCCTTTTTTTCTGAATTGTGACACGATATAACACAGACCTTTAGGCGGTAGACACGCGGCCGTCGTTCCTGCACTTCCGGAAGATCAGTCTGGCGTGGCCGATGGTCACGCTGAAGATATTCCTTCCTACATACACCCTCCCCCACATCTGCAATCGCAGCCTTTCACAACCATCGTTCTTCCCCCACCTCAATCCGCCGACACTTTAAGTATCCACGAGTACCGCCCTCCTTCACAGAGGGATGTTGAAGACAGGCGACAGAGTAATTCTCATTCACATAGCACCCGTCAGCTCGCAAATCCTTCACCACCAAACATGACATCCACCTCCAAAGCATCACCTCCCCCACACCAACAGCAATCGCCATATCTTACCGGTGCCAATGCGTCATTGCCTGTGCCTCAAACGTTAGCAAGCATAATGCATGCGTATCCTGCTCCCTCAGCTGCAAGAGAGGAGCCTCATTCGCGTCCTGGATCCCGAGATGAGATACCTCCAAACGGTCCCTCATTGCGGTCTCGTGAGCAGTGAGCAGTGATCACTGATCTACTCGCCTACATCTACTATGCAAGTGGAGTCCATTATATTATACTTCTTTTGGGTTTATTCTACGTTGAACGCTGTGTTATTGATCTCCGGTTTCTCGCATTGTCGTGGCTTTCTTGGCATCTTAGTTCGCTTCTGCTTTTGGATGGTTTCATTTTTGCAGGTATTCCCTCTCCAATCCCAAAAAGTAACTTCCAACCGGTGTGATCGACTTCCCAATCGTTGATGGATAGCCCACCACCTCTCCCCCAGAGCCCCCCACTTTGTGGGCTTCTAGCTCTGGGGGAAAAGGTGACGGTCTTCTGGGATGAGATGAGACTTGTTCTCGTTGACTAGATGACCATGAGGCGAGAGTAAACCAACGTAAGAGTGGAATCACGACTTCTTGACTGTAAGCCCTCGGGCTGGCGGTTAGAAGATCGATTTACGGGCCCCTGTGGGGACTCCTGCCGTGCGAGGAATGTGCTGGCAATGGGGTAGTATGTGGGGCCAACATTCGATTGAGTTATCATTGACAACTACTTTCATGTCGATAGACCAGATTTCATCTTTTCGTCTTACCGCTTCTATTTACTTGTGGAGCTGGACAAATGTGACGGGGCTCCACCTTTTACGATGCTATACATTCGGGCGGAACAATGCAGCGTGGCTATCGTAGCTGGAACGTACGTCTACTATCATCGCCTACTCCTATCTTTCGTTATTTGTACGTTTGAGCTAGCACTGCCATGACCATTTGCGCGATATACTCAACATGAGGTTGTGTTTATGTTTGATCGCAGCGCTAAACTTTGGGGTCAGAACCGTGACAGTAACAGTTCTAGTCAAGTTCTCCCACCACACTCATGATCTCATGATGTCTTCGCGGTTGCGTGTGGCAGTCGTACAGTTTGCTCCAAAGGTCAGTACACATTTCCTCGGGGATGAAAACAGCAATCATAATCGAACGTCATCTACACTTAAGCTCGGCCAAGTGCAAGCCAACATCGCCAAGGCTCGAGAATTATGCAATGGGTATGCGGCCTCACGCACTAGTACGTTTGAAGATGGCCTCACGGCCATTTACAAGGTTGAAGCCCCGATCAGTTGATCTCTTGTGTTTCCCAGAGATGTTTTTCTCCGGTAAGCCGGTTCTCGTACTTCCGAATTGTTACTGTATATGCACACACACGAAGGTTTCTGATCATGCACATCAGGCTATGTGTTCCCGGACACGGCTACTATCACACCGTATCTTGAACACCCACATACAGGGCCCACGGCCACCTTTTGTGCGGAGCTAGCACGCTCCCTTGAATGTTTTGTAACTGCCGGGTATCCTGAGAAGCTCGAACCACATGAACATGCCCCTCCGCTCGGTGGCAATAGCTTATCGTTTCATCAGCCCCGTATCGGTGCAAACAGTGCAGTCATGTATGACCCTACGGGGGAGCGTGTCGGAGCATATCGCAAGACCAACCTCTATAAACTTGATCTTCCCTGGGCTATTCCTGGTTCTGGATTTACGACAATGACCCTACCGCATCCACTAGGTCCAACCACGCTTGCGATCTGCAATGATCTTAATGTGCAGGACCCTGCTGTGTGGGAGTCGCTTGAAGAAGGTCCATATGAACTTGCTCAACACTGCATAAGATCGGGCACGCGGCTTTTGATACTTCTGAATGCATGGCTGCATCCTGACGAAGATGGAGAAGTATCAGATAGCGATTCTGCTGATTGCACGACTTCGGAACATAACGAGGGTACAGATGACATGGAGCCGAGTTGGGAAGTAATAAAATACTGGGCGATGCGTTTGAATCCATTGTGGGCCACGATTCAAGAGGCAACACACGAAAATGAGAAGAAACCGGGCATCCCCAACGAGCTGCTCGTACTTGTTTGTAATAGATTTGGAAACGAAGGTGGTGAGTGTTCAGAAGCTTTTGGCTCTATTCTTGAGTGAATCGTTTTTGTTCAGGGAGCAGGTTTGCGGGATCGTCTGTTCTCATGTCCCTTCGCAGAGGATCCGGCCGACCACGACTGTTGCAGATGATGGGACAGAGGGAAGAAGGTGTTGGTTTCTGGACTGCGAACATACCAGGACGGTAGTATGATTCATTTGGTGTATTTCCTATCACCACCCCTCTTTGCTATATTGGTAGCTATCTTTTCGGCACTCCTTCATATCTTTGTCTGATTAAATTGCCGTTCTACTACCATTTCCCAAAATCATCCATAAATAATAGTGCAATGATGCCTAAACCTTCATTCCAACCAGCCCCACGCACCGCACTCGCTGGCTTCCTGGCTCCCCATCCGAAATTGAATGTCATAACCATAGTGACTGCATAGCCGAGCATGTTCGTCATCAAGCACCGCACGTCGATGGAGCGCATGCAGCACTGTGGAATGCTAGAATAAAAATCAGTAGGAGTTAGTACAGTGTGCTGAAATTGAGTAGTTACACGATGCAGAGTAGCGGCAATATCTTTGTTTGAAGCCGATAACTTTGCAGTGGAATCTTGGAGGCCCCGGATTCTCTCATCCTGATATTTTATCTTGTTAGCTTGCTCATCGAGTAGTTCCAGGTACATACCTGTCGAGTGAAGGAAGCTTTGAGCTGATTGATCTCACCCATCATTTCCTCGCGGAACGTGTTCATCATGATCTCTATGTTGGACATGGTCATATTACGAGCACAGGGGTAGAACAGAAAAGTATATAAACGATGACATAGAGGATCGGACGCTATTTGTCAGCAATAGCGCGGACCAGAGACAAGTCCGTACTTACCAATCCATGGACCGGTAACATACATATGCTGTAGGAATATTTAGTTCATAGTCAGTCGAAATAATATCTACCATCATAGGGCGCCACTCATGATTCGCCCTAGAGGGTCTCGAAGGTCTCTACGAGAACATGTGCCCCGTGGGGTAGTCAAGGTAGGGTCTCGTCGAGGAATTTGGCAATTGCATGCATGGGATGGGAGTCGGAGACCACTACCAGTGTTGGGGTCTTTATGTAATTGCGTACCTTTTCCGCCAATATCTTTCATGCCACCCAGATAACTTCAAAGTTCATACGGAAGGCCTTTGTGGCCGAGACAGAATCTGACGCGTAGTGTGTGAGTCGGTTATCAGGCCTCAGGAATGCGCCCACAGCACCTTGTCTTTGATGGGTTGGGTGCCCATTTTTCCTTGGGGAGCTTGGATGGTATGTCATACAGGATCACATGAAGAATATCTTGATCAGATAGTCATAACTGCAGCAGACGGGTCACGGGAGGCCGTATTCTTGCCCCACTCATCGACATCCTTCTTCAAGACGTACTTGTGTCAAACCGGCCAGGCTTGCCATGTTTTGGCTACTGGAGAAATTCTCGAGCACATTCAAGTTGAATTCCCCAAAATTACCATTTCCCTTGTGAAGTCATCGCTATTCAAGAACTTGACAGATTTCTTGATGTTGCCGGTGTTCCTGCCAGGTGTGAAGCTACTGGCAGAATTGTTCCACCTCTGGAGTGTCTGCACTGACAGAAGGTGTCACGGTTCGTTTTCACCACTCAGACATCATTTACGCTTTAAGACTTACGCAAACGGGACACAGGAACAAAACCAATCAGCCATCAACGTCTTTGTGTTGCGGCATGCTGTCTCTATAGGTTCAAGTTGTCAGACGCCCATCTCTTTTCTGGAAGATCGCTTAGTATGTCGTACATGATGATGGATCGCATAATATTGTTGGCAGCTGCAGCACTTGGTATGTGATTCTGGTATTTATAACTTTGAGATCTCAAGTTACCGGGATCCCATATCACGCCAGGTGACATTCCTGCTGAACCTTATCCAGCACCTTTGCCCATCTTCCTCCATTCCAAGAGCTGATCCTCGCCCACTCATCTTCCTTCAAGACGCGCTTGTACCAGAACAGTCGACTTGCCACGATGATGTCCGCATACGAGAACGTATCTCCCATAACCCACTCCGTGCCGCTCTTCTCGCGTAACGCTTCTCCCTTACTGAAACTCTGCTCAAGATATGCCCAATCTCCATCGCGTTTCGGGCCTTCGGGTGAAAAATCCTCCCACGGAAGTTGAAACCTCTCCGAGCGCGTTCGACGGAAATACTCCACGCTTGCGGGGTTCAGAATCTCTGCAGTACGCACATATATCAGCTTTATGATGGGGTGCGCGTCGTTAAGATATGCAGAGTTGAATACGCGAATGAGCATCTGAGAGCCGTGCGGGAAGATTGGCTTTGCGGGATATGTTTTCTCGAGATACGCTGCGATCTCGAGGGATTCATCGATCAGAGCGCCAGTGTTGGGATCGCTGAGGACAGGAACGGTGTATATATCTGTACCGTCGGGTCTCTTTTTGGGCGCCAGGCCGAGACCCTTGAGAACACTCGCAATGTCTGGGTACTCGACCCAGACAGTTTCGAAAGGTAGCTCCTTGTAGCTTAACACGAACCTGACACAAGAGATAAGGAAGTCGGATTTAGACTTGCGCCAAGCATACTAACCTGGGCTTCGATGTATTTGGAGACCAGTAGCTTCCAGGCAACTGGGAGGGGATGTCGTACAGAATGAGCGGTTTCATTGTTATCGTCAACTGATTCCACCTGATGCTATTTATTTGGTGTCTATGCCACAGCCAGTACTATTACAAATGAGCGCCTTAGTGATATCTTGATTTAGCTGTATGTTTCATATAGTGTACCTTACATATCCATTAGTCAGTGTAGCATTGTGAATCAGTCATGGAACTCACCTGAAACGCGCATTAGTCAGTGTAGCATTGCGAATGAGTAATGCAGGAACTCACCTGAAAAGCGGACTGGCATCGCCCATGTCCTTGAATTCGAATATTCTATCGTCGCCAATGTTTCCCGCCAGACACTGCGCTTCTTTCTTTCTGTTCAGCCGGTTGTAGTTCGCACGCACCATTCGGATACCTCTTCAAATTCTACTCCAAAATGTTAGCAGCCTTACGCACATCCACGCTCTTGAACGTAAATGTCAAAAGTACGAGGTTGAATGTAAGTAATAACATATCGCAGATCACACGGCGTTCCGTTTCTGTACATCCGCATCCATTTAGTAGACGCGAAGATACCAAAAACATGAGCACTCACCTATCGCAACCCCCCAGTGCGTTCCAACAACTCCGACCCAAACTTCCTATCGCCTTTATACCCAAACAGCTCAACCAGTGCCAGCAGTTTCCTAGGCATCATACTGAGCACGAGGTGAGCATCCCAAGGCCTAAATACACCCCAGATCTGAAATGACCGTCTATAGAGGGATCGGGAGGTAAGGGTGCGAGGGAGGGTCGGTGGTGAGTTCTTGCAGGTTTTGGGAACCAGAAGCGGGCATGGAAGGTGTAGGGGAGAATGAGTTGGCGTTCCCCATATGGGAACGCACCAAGGATTTGCAGGCTGTGGACTTCAGTGTCTTGAGCGGACCAATGCTCCCGAGGCTTGACCTACCAACTGATTCATTCGCACAGGGACAGCTTTACACTGCACTTTCAAGAGAATGGTGTGATATTGGAACACCGTTGACCAACATTGGAGTCATACAAAGGTATCTAGGGAATTTCGTGGTGGGCAAACTCGTCTAAGATGCCCTGCAAGGTTTTGGCCTGCAAGGCTGTCAGATCATACCCCGTGATAGCCAGGGTCAAGTCCTCCGCAGAGGCTCTGTGAGCCACTTTGTTCGCCTCTCCGCGGACAGTACCATGACTGCTGTCAAATATCATCTTCAAAAGCCTCATCGGGCACCAAGCGCGCGTCGTCTTGGTTCAGCTTCAATCGGACCTCCTTTACCAATCACCCCAGGCTCTTCGCCGGCTGGCCGTCGACTTCCTGCTAGCCTGGTCGAAGTGAAGCGGGGGTATAGCCATACCGGGTGGATAGGAGACTAGGAGCATCATCAAGCACCACACGTCGGTGGAGGATACACACTACTGCAGAATACTAGAATGAAATCAGTAGGAGTTAGTACAGGGTCCTGAAATTGAGTAGTTACATGTTCCAGGGAAACTGATAACTCGGCGTTGGAATCTTCAAGGCCCTGTATCTTGTCGTCCTGATGTTTTATCGTCTCATCCTGACATTTTATCTTGTTAGCTTGCTCATCGAGTTGTTCCAGGTAACATACCTGTTTGGCGCTTCTTCAAATCTGCCTGATGTTTCTTCTTCGTCTTAACGATGTCGTGGTACGAATGTGTATCCGGCGTTCTAAAGTGTGCTGTGAAGCTTCTACCTGGCAGTAGAGTTGATAGCGGTTGGTCTACAACCATATTTGAAGATTCAACGTCTGTATGAGACAAGCAGGAAAGTTGATAAGTGTACGGTTGAATAGTAACATGGCGCTCACCAATTAAAATCTTAGGGGCTGTTAGCTTGATAGGAGACGGCGGTTGAACCACGTTGTTGTAGGTTGTCGTAAGTTCTTGCGTGCGAACTATATCTTCTGTCCGGGCGTCTTTGTTGACCCGTGTACATGACAGACTGAGGTCTATAAGGCCAGTTATTTCGACTGCAGGGGATCCTGACATGTTTGCGAAAGGAACGGAGGGAGATACATATGGTGGAGGATAGGTTTTACGGTTCGACTTGCCGATTTGCCGCGACTTATTTTGAAGTCCGATCACTGTTTGCTCTAGTCTTTTGAACTATTTGTTAGCACACCTCAAATATTATCGTCACAGGAGGTCACAGGCGGTTGTGTACTTACAATGGCCATCATATTGACCGCTCCAGAACTTGAGCGATCCCCAGCCTGACTCAGACGGACTTAGCGACGATGGAAAGAAGTCATGGTTCAAATATGGAGCATCGGTAAGCCAGTTAGAATTTGAAGAATGGATGCACAAAGTATGTATTTAAAATGAAAGAGTTTCATACGTGAATGAGTAAATGCTCTTCAAACTTGCTACCTGCGATGGTGTCAAGTTCGGCTGCGCGATGGCTAATTTCAGGTCCTCTGCGGAGCACTGAGCCCTGAAATTACCCTCTGCTCGGATGGTACCCCGACTACTGCCGAATATCATCGTCAACGCGTCAAGGTGTAGTAAGCACGCATCCTCATTATTGAGCTTCGAGCGAACTTCTTTGACCAATTGCTGCATGGTCTTCGCTGGCTTCCCTTGGACGACTTCCTCCCCAGCCGAAGGTCATTGATATTATGTTTGTACCGCTTGCGTATAAGATCACGGGCGTCGTCAAGTACCACGCGTCGGTGGAGAGCATGGAGTGCTATGGAATGCTAGAGTAAAAATCAGAGGAGTTAATGCAGGGTGCTGAAATTGAGTAGTTACACGCTGCACAGTGGCGGTTAAGGATTTGTTATCAGCCGATAACGTTGCGTTGGAATCTTCAAGGCCCAGAATTTTCTGGGATAACGTTGCCTTGGAATCTTCCAGCTCCCAAATTTTCTGGACCTGACTCTTGTTAGCTTGCTCATTGACTCGGAGTACTGGTTCCAGGTACACACCTGTTGAGTGCGGGAAACTTTGAGCTCATCAATCTCACTCGTAAACTGCTTGGAAAACCTGTTCATCGCCATCTGTACGGCGATGTTGACGGAGGCTGACGCTTATTCCGACATGGGTGCTGAGGCGGATTCCGACATGGATGCTGAGATGGATTCCGACATGGGTGTTGAAATGGATTCTGACATTGAGACGGATTCCGAAATGGGTGCTGAGACTGATTCTGAGACCGGTGCTGAGCCTTCTTCCACCAAACGAGCTGAATGTGATTGAGTACCACAGAACAATGGTGCAAGAATAGTGAAACCAACTACCTTTCTTTCTTTTCTTGCGCCGGGAAGACTTTGATGTATTTTGCTGTGCTCGTTTCAAGTCTTCTGCTTGTATCACCCATTTAGCGTTCGCCTCTGTCGTGCGTCTCTCCAGTCGTACTCTGTAGTCCTTCAACTCTGCTTGATGTTTCTTGTTTGCGTCCACGAGAGAATGCGTCTTTGGTATTGTAAAATGGGCGGTGAAGTTTCTACCTGACGGTAGAGTTGATAGGGGTTGCCCTACAACCATATTCGTAGATTCACCGTCTGTATAAGACGAGCAGGAAAGTTGATAAGTGTACGGTTGAATAGTATCATGGCGCTCACCAATTAAAATCCTAGGGGCTGTTAGCTTGATAGGAGACGGCGGTTGAACCACGTTGTTGTAGGTTGTCATAGGTTCTTGCGTGCGAACTATATATTCTGTCCGGGCGTCTTTGGTGATGACCCGTGTACATGAGAGGCGGAGGTCTATAAGGACCCCAGTTATTTGGACTGCTGATGATGGCATTGCGGAACGGAGGGAGATATGAGTATAAACTCCGACTACCTATTACTATATACTCAAATACATCATCATCGTCAGCCGCGCGGCTGACTCTGCTGCAGCTGGTGCAGAATTATGGTTTGAACTGAACGAACCGGACTTTTGGTCCGGTTCTCACACCAGACTGGAAAACGGTCCTGAATGGTTCCATTTTCACCCTTGGCAGTGTGGCAGTCCCATGCTGGCTGTGCTTCTGAGACACGAGTTGGCTTCATTGTTATTGTCAACTTATAAGATCCACCTCTGATTGTACGTGCCTATAATATTAGGCGTTTATGCTACGCCATATTATGCCAGTACTATTACAAATGAAATGTAGGTGCGCCTTATTCCCGAGGTGATATCAAAAAACGTTCAAGGACAGCTTGATTTAGCTGTATGTTTCATATAGTGTACCTTACATATCCATCAGTCGGGGCAGCATTGCGAATGAATCATGGAGCTCACCTGAAAAGCGGACTGGCATCGCCCATGTCTTTGAATTCGTATATTCTATTTTCGCCAATGTTTTCCGCCACACACTGCGCTTCTTTCTTTCTGTTCAGCCGGTTGTAGTTCCACATGGCGAAGATACTCATTATGATTCTGTTAGAAGATCGTGTTATTACGTTGCAGTTCGAAAGACTGATGAGACATACGAAAGAGAAAGAAATCCCATGTTGGTGCCATGTCCGATGTGGAAACGTGGCGGATCAATATAGATGAAGGAGGAGCAAACACTAATACAGGCGTGAGCAGGCAAATAATTGTATTTATGATAATACGACGTACCCTCCAAGGTTGCTAATACCAATGACCATTGCTAGTACAACTCCACGCTTTAAGTCGCCTCCCGCATTTGAGCCTGCCCAGGCAAGAATGACTGGGACGGTCGGATAATTTCCTGCAGCAGCTAGAAAAACTCCAACGTATGACAGACCCGCTTGTACGGAGCAATATAGTAAGATGTATCCCACAAGAGACACGAGCGCGCCGCCGATGATGTACGGACCATGAAGATTGTGCTTGTCAGAATGGATGCCAACTATGATTGTTGCGATAGCGCCGGCAACAAATGGTGGGACTGAGAGTAGCTGGGCATTTGCAGCAGAGTAGCCAAGCTCTTTGATGATGGTTGGCGAAAAGAGGGCAATGGCATAACCGGGAACAAGTAACCTAATGATCAACTCAGATAATGCATGCAAGATGACAGGAGGACTGAGTACCCTAAATAAATGAGAATTTGGACGTAGGTCTTGTAATCTTTCATGGCTTGCCAAACGAATTGAGTGTCGAAGCGAGAGGAAAGAGAATTTGAATCCTGTTTGAGCACATCTATGATGTATAATCTCTCTGGTTCGGTCAAAAAATTGGCCGTTTCAGGATACTAAGTAGTCTAAATTAGCATTTGAAAGACCCAGCATAACCACGAACTCACATCAGGCATGTAGAACAAAGAGAAAATTGCGACGAGAACAGTGACTGATCGAAGCTTAAGATGAGCATCCGAATCGTCTCAGATCTGGCACGACTGACCAATGCCTTCCAAGCAAAACTAGGAGAAATAAATTAGTAAAGTCTCGGATTGAAAACATGCAAACATACTATCCACTGCCAACCACGCAATCCTCCGACTCTGATTGGCACATCAGCGGTGGCTGACAAGGCAAGCAACCTGCTTACCCATCCATCCGTTCAATACCATACCTATATGCACATGAAGGTCAACAGCAGATTGATGGTAAACCAAGAAACTTACGCAAGGAGTCCACCGAAGGCAACTATAAAGAATAAGATTACAAGGAGATAAAATCCGGCACGAATTAAGACACATACCTGCGACTGACGCTGCAGAGAAGAATATAGCAATACGTTTGGACCGCTCCGAACGTGGATACCAAAGGCAAATGTAGTAATTTATTCCTGGATATAATCCTGCTTCGGCCAAACCGAGGAACGCTCGGGCTCTGTGATTGTTATGGTGTCTGTCTCCACTATGCGAATACACCTCACGCACATAACAAGAGATTGATACGAATCGACGAGACACATAAGGGTCATCACAATACCCCATGCGATCATGATAGACGGCACTAAATCAATATTAGGTGGTGAGAAAGAACAAGGTAAAGGTGAACGTACACCATCGCGATGGCCTTGATAGCTTGAGGATGATGTTCCTACACAGACACTGAGTACAGACTTGCTATTATTGATGTTGTACGTACGAGGGAACTTCAGCAAGGCTGAATGGGATCTAGAATAACTCAGCACTTGATAGAACATGCACAACACACGACGCACAAAAAAGACGGCTGCAGCAATGTTGTACTGGAATCCAGTCAATTTCAAGCTTGTAGTCATCCCAGCAACCGTCGCATTTCCTGGTGATCGACTCAGTCGGTAATCGACAGTAAATGTTCCAACTTACCAATATTGGCCTTGTCTCTGAAGGTAACATAGAATGTGAAGCAGCATCAGACATCACATACATTCGGAAAACTCACAAGAATGAAAACAAGAAAAACACCGTGACGAAAGGTAACAGGTGCCAATCCATCTTGCGCAGAATGCGTGCTTGCTCTCTCGGATTCACTAGCAGGACACTGAGATCATCGGACTTCAGCTCGATGTCATCGTCGCGCAACGAGCCCATGATATCAGGCTGGGCGACAGCACAGTTTGGACGGAGAGACTGGTTGGATGCCAAGCGCCTTGTCGTCAAGAGATAGCGGGTATTATATCATAAATTAATGTCTTGAGCGGCATTAACACCCCAGCTGATGTGATACCTTGGATATAGTATACGGCATACCTATTTAAAAGTCTCAAGAACACATCATCCACTAGCAAAGACAACTTGCACATTTCGCGGATTTGAAAATATTCTAACCTAGTTATCATGAGGCCTAGTTCAACACAATGTTCAAATCATTGGTACCCACCACATGACATGACAGTACCACGCTTCGATCGGAAGCAAATGGTTATTGAATCAGTGAAATTGCTCAAAGTGAAGACAAGTTCACAGTGACGCAGTTTCGATAATGGTATTAAATTCTCACGGGTACGTTTGCGGAGAATGAATTTGAATCGAGGACGTACGTCTCGTTTATCGGATGACTAGCGTTTGAGGAGAGTCAGGAGACGCTTGCCATTTCAAACTCCGCATGAAAGGCAACGCGGTCACGTGCGTGACAATCAGCTTGTCCTTATTTGTGCGAGGCACGGTATCCGACACAACTGTTTCTTTAGCTCTAAGTAGCAGCGAAATTCATAAGGATTAATGACTATGTTCTTCACAGGAGCCTAAATCTGTGTTGCACCCGGCATTCACATCTACCAAGAGACGTGCCCATTTTTCCCCGTGCAATGTGTGGACCTCTTGGCGTTCTTGTTTGTTCAAGATAGCGTTCCACCAAACTATCCACTTGCAAGACACCACGACGATATCCGTGAACGAGAACGTGTTTCCCATAATCCACCTACCCCCGCTCTTTTGATACCACCCGTTCACCACACCAAGGCCCTTCTTTAACGCAGCCCACATTTGCTGTGCCTTCCCCTCAGGAGCCATATCTTCCCAGTGTGTTTCTCTAAACATTTTTAATCGCGATTGGATGAACACTTGCCAGCTAATATCATTCTGTGTCTCGAGAGTTCTGGTCATGAGCAGCTTGAAGGACGGCATCATGACTGTGTTGATATATGGGGTCTCGGAGGTCTCTACAAGTACGTGTGCCCCGCGGGGTATAAGTAGCTTGTCAGTTTCGTCGAGGTATTTGGCAATTGCATGGGAGCCGTAGACCACTATGCCAGTGTTGAGGTTTTTAATGGCTGGCACAGTGTACCTTTTCCCAGCTGTTGGAGATGCGCCGATATCCCAGGACCTAGAATAGGGACTGGTTTAGCAAATTTAAATGTCTGTCGTCTCGATCACACAGGGCCGGTTTTAATCCCGGTTCCGGACGTCTTAGTCATCCGTGGCTGATTCCTCTCCTTTCTTTGTCCCTCATCAACATCGCCTGCATCCAGCGTTTTCGACTTCATGGCATCCAGTTCATTAACATCGTCATCTTCATCGTGGCTTCCTCCGGCTTCCCTTGTCGTTTCGGATCAAGAGCCCCACGACGATGGGATGTCTTTGGTGTCGTCCTGCGTTCTACGCAAGTATTTTGGGTTTTTCGAGTGCGCCTCCTATAGGCGTCGAGGCAAGGAGAACTCACCCTCCGCTCTGGAGCAAACTTTGGTCGTTGTGACGAAAAATTGGAGTTAATATCAACCACTTCCATATCCCACATATAACTGAAGCGAATACACCAACACACGCTCTATCCACATTATCTCGACTACTAGCTGTTCCAGCTCTCACTCTGACAATTGCCGATCTGTTCAGACCTCTTTTGATCGATTTATGCGCCAGATGGCTTCACGACGATGACGATATCGAAGACAGGTTCATCGCGTTTCGTCTCCTCATTGAGCTTCACGAGAAGCTACATCCGTGCGCTTTCTTATCGCACTTGTGTTATTCGTCTCACGCCTGGTTGTAGATCCTTATACGCTTTCTTGCAAACACCATGTCTATCCAAGGGACCACTTGCTTTCATAGCTGCGGCTCCTTCTGTTGCTGAAATTGAAACCATTTGTCGGCACCGCATGTTGCTTGCATATTATCGCCTTCTCCGTGCTAATCTTCCCAAGCATCTGCTATCGGACGGGTCGCTATTATCCAAACTATTCTTCCCGCCTCACCCTGATACAGGTGTACGATTACTCGCTGCTCGGTACTATGCATCGCATATTGGTATGGCAGAAATTGAGTGCGAGAGGCTTATCACTCATGTCCTCGGCAAGTTTTGCGGCGTTGACTGTCCAATTAACTATGCGCAGACTATCGATGGGACTGTCATTGAGACCGACAGCTGGCTCGTATCTACATTGGAGATAAAGCGTATTCACGATGCACGCGACACTGTTCTCGAAAGTTCCGATTTTTACTCTCTTGACGCAGAGGGTGTTTTGCAACCTCTCTGGGAGGCAGACCTGAGGTCTGTTACACACTGACGTGCAGGAATACTTCGGCTCATACGTTTCTGATCCTGCCACTGGCAAGCTCGTTGCTTGTCCATGCTCTCCGACATGGACATTGGATTGTACTGGACGAGCTGAACTTTGCACCTACAGACGTGTTGGAAGCTCTTAATCGGTTGCTAGATGACAACCGGGAGCTCATCATTCCGGAGACACAAGAGGTCATTCGCCTACATCCACACTTTTCGCAACGCAGAATCCTCCTGGCCTATATGCAGGGAGCAAGGTTTTGTCCCGTGCCTTCCGACGTTGTTTCCTCGAGGTTCACTTCCAGGATGTGCCTCAAGCGGAGCTTGAAACCATTCTCTGCCAGCGTTGCCGTATCGCGCTTTCCTATGGCCAGAAAATCATCAGCGTGTTCCGTGAATTACAGCAACGTCGTCGGTTCTGCAACTCTTCGTGATCTCTTTAGATGGGCCGTGATGCAGGAGGTTATCAAGAGTTGGCAGAGAATGAGTATATGCTACTTGCAGAATATGTGCTGTTACCGACTCCTGCTATCAGCATCTGTTTTTCATTCACGGATTCGGTTCACGACAAGCCCAGATCTTAGTAGGGGTAAGGTACTTGGTTCCAACGAAGTCGAAGTCGAGGGGAGAAATCAATGAAGCGACTTCCAGGTCATGAAAACGGCGAACTGGATTTGTCCACCTGTACTCCTAAACAACTGCCAGACGTTGGCGACCTGCCTGTACCCTCTGCAATTTTCGTTCACTTTTCAATAATTGGTGCTTCTAAACGTCTTCGAACATTTTTCCAGCTTCGATGGTTTAGCGCGAGTAATACTTACACTTCTTCAAAAATGTGGATCAACATCAAGGACATCTACGAGGGAGTCTGTACATTCCTGGCAATGAAAGACTTCTGGTGCCCTCGGTTGCATGACTGTCGGGAAACCCAACTCATGTATATATACATACTCGGTCCTACAATCTAGTCCGACAACCTGATATCCGACGTACTTCTGGCTTGATGCCTCTTGGTCAAAAACACGATGAACTGTCACCACTCAAGTCGCACCGTAAGATAGACTGAGATAAAGAATCAAAGATTAAGCACAATATCGGGTGTATACAGTAAGGTAACTTCTATTCGGAGGTATATTACTTACAAGACCATCTCAGAATTTGCTGCTCTATTGCTGATCATTCTCCGGCGCAAAGGGCCAATCCGAATAACCCGCTGGTGTGAGATTGCCGCGCATGTACCATGTTGCTTGGTCACCCCGCTCAAGCGCGATGCCCTTTCGCAGACGGAATGGAAGATCGGGCTAGTAAAGGGGATGTGTTAGTCACTGCCTAGTCTAGGAAACAAATAACTCACGTTTGGCATAAACAACCTCCCGAATCCAATGAGGCCGCCTTTCTTGTCTACCGTCTCAATTGCGGTATTCCGGGTATATCCGTTTGTGCTGATGAAGGTGCTGCCCTCAACCCCTTGCCAGATATCACGGAGGAAATCGCTGTTTTTCTCAGCAGTGACTTCGGTAGGCATCGGCTCTACCACGTGGATGTATGCGAGTTTGTGTTTGCGCAGCTGCTCAACCACGTAGGAGAATTGGGGTTTTGGGTCTGCCATGCCCATACCTACACCACAAATCAGCTAAATAAAGATCGCCGGTATTGAATGATGTGACACGTACCGCTGAATATGCCCCAGGGGCTCATTCGGAACCCCGTTCTCTCAGCACCAACGGCCTCCACAACGGCATCCGTTATTTCAAGTGCAAACCTTGCGCGATTCTCGATGCTTCCCCCGTATTCATCTGTGCGTTGGTTACTGACGTCTTGCATGAACTGGTCGATCAAGTAGCCATTTGCGCCGTGAATTTCAACGCCATCGAAACCAGCTCGAATGGCATTTTTTGCGGCGGTGGCATACGTGGCAACATACTCCTTGATTTCATCCTTGGTAAGTGCGCGTGGCACGTCTGTTTTGCCAGGCATGAAGATGGGTGAGGCACTGACGTGGGGACTATTGTCTTCCTTGGCAAGAACGGCTGTGTCTGCGGTGCGGCCGAGCGCCCAGAGTTGTAGGAAAATGAAAGAGCCCTTCTCATGGACTGCTTCTGTCACCTGCAGTTCGGGGCGTGAGTCAGCTCTCATCATTGTTGAGCAAGATACAACATACCTTTTTCCATCCCTCCAGATGGGCATCGGTATATATCCCAGGGACATTATCATAACCACCAGCGTTCTGAGATATGAACGTGCCCTCTGTGATAAGAAGAGTTCCAGGGGTAGACCCTCTCTGAGAGTAGTACGCTGGAGCTTCTGGGGTTGGGACGTGATCCGCGTGTGCACGTATACGGGTGAGTGGGGCAAGGACGACGCGGTGCTGCAAGTTGATGTTGCCTACGCGGATGGGGGAGAAGAGTGCGGAGGTCGAAGAATCAGACATGGTGAACTAGGTATGAAATGCTTTGAATGGTATCAATTGGAGATCTTGAGACAGGAATCCACATCGCGTATTTTATAGCCAACCTCGACAGGCTGAACGAGTTTAAGATAGATAGATTTGTCAGGCTGGCTGTGGACCATCAGGAAATCCTGGGTGGCACGCAGCACTGCAAGATATGCTTAGCAAGCGCTGGGCTGACTGATTCTGAGTAGCGATGGCAGAAGCTGAAGAACACCCAGTCGGATTCATCATCGATTATAAATATTTCACAGCCACGGCCCACAATTGGAGGCCTGTTCAAACAAGTCACGGTATACCGGCTGTTGCACATCAACCACAGTGTCAGTAATTATTAATTAGGATCTGTCATTCTCCGAGTCGATGCATGAGTCGGAATTTGACAAACCGAGCGGTCAAGGTAAGCCTCCAAACGTTGTTCAAGCGATATCGTTTCTAAGATATCGCTGTAAAGTGCTAGATGCAGTGCTCAAGCTCAAGAATGGACTTTGCGAGTCGCGACACTGACATCTCATAAGCGCGGTGCAATGCCGCCATTTACAGCTGCCAGTCGACAAAATGGATTCTGACCTTGGCCCTGATGATATGAAACGCGTGTCACAATTTTTCATTTCCGACAAAACGTGGAGGCATCACCATGCAGAACTAAGTCATATCACGCGCAATCCAGTGCCTATCAGATCTCCCCTACATCGCTGTCCTCCTCGACCTCAATGTGGTCCTGGACCCCCGAATTTTTATAGGTGTGAATCTTTCATGGTTGTAGCAATGACACAAAACTCCACCCAGATAACTTCATACAGAAGGCCTTTATGGCCGAGATAGAATCTGACGCGTAGTGTGTGAGTCGGTTATCAGGTCTTACAATGCGCCCACAGCACCTCGTCTTTGATGGGTTAGGTGCCCAGTTTTTCTTGGGGAGCTTGGATGGTATGTCATACAGGATGATGGGTTGCATTCTGCAAGTAGCCGTACTTACGATGTGATTCTGGCATTTATAATCTCAGAGTGTCTCGTCACCGGTTCGCTGACCCGTGAAAGCTGTCGTTTTCAAACACGAAGAATATCTTGATCAGATAGTCATGACTGCAGCAGACGGGTCACGGGAGGCCGTATTCTTGCCCCACTCATCGACATCCTTCTTCAAGACGTACTTGCATCAAACTGACCCAGCTCGCCATGTTTAAAATTTGGCTGGAGGGATTTGCGAGCACATTGGAGGTATGTGTTTTCCAGAAAGTTGCCGTTTCCCTCGCTAAGTCATCGCTATTCAAGAACTTACCAGCTTTATTGATGTTGTCGATGTTCCTGCCAGGTGTCAAGCTACCGGCAGGATTGTCCCACCTCTGCATTGTCTGCACTGACAGAAGGTGTCACGGCTTGTTTTCACCACTCATAGACATCATTTACGCTTTTAGACTTACGCAAACGGGACACAGGAACAAAACAAAACAGCTATCAACGTCTTTCATGTGTTGCGGCACGACGTCTCTATGGGTTCAAGTTGTCAGACGCCCATCTCTTTTCTGGAAGATCGCTTAGTATGTCGTACATGATGATGGGTCGCATAATATTGTTGGCAGCTGCAGCACTTGGTATGTGATTCTGGTATTTATAATTTTGAGATCTCAAGTTACCGGGATTCCATATCACGCCAGGTGACATTCCTGCTGAATCTTATCCAGCACCTTTGCCCATCTTCCTCCATTCCAAGAGCTGATCCTCGCCCACTCATCTTCCTTCAAGACGCGCTTGTACCAGAACAGTCGACTTGCCACGATGATGTCCGCATACGAGAACGTATCTCCCATAACCCACTCCGTGCCGCTCTTCTCGCGTAACGCTTCTCCCTTACTGAAACTCTGCTCAAGATATGCCCAATCTCCATCGCGTTTCGGGCCTTCGGGTGAAAAAACCTCCCACGGAAGTTGAAACCTCTCCGAGCGCGTTTGACAGAAGTACTCCACGCTTGCGGGGTTCAGAATCTCTGCAGCACGCACATATATCAACTTTACGATGGGGTGTGCGTCGTTAAGATATGCAGAGTCGAATACGCGAATGAGCATCTGAGAGCCGTGCGGGAAGATTGGCTTTGCGGGATATGTTTTCTCGAGATACGCTGCGATCTCGAGGGATTCATCGATCAGAGCGCCAGTGTTGGGGTCACTGAGGACAGGAACGGTGTATATATCTGGACCGTCGGATCTCTTTTTGGGCATCAGGCCGAGACCCTTGAGAACAGTCGCAATATCTGGGTACTCGACCCAGACAGTCTCGAAAGGTAGCTCCTTGTAGCTTAACACGAACCTGACACAAGAGGTAAGGAAGTCAGATTTAAACTCGCGTGAAGCATACTAACCTGGGCTTCGATGTATTTGGAGACCAGTAGCTTCCAGGCAATTGGGAGGGGATGTCGTATAGAATGAGCGGTTTCATTGTTATCGTCAACTTATTAGATCTACCTGCTATCATACGTGCCTTATTTGGTGTCTACGCTACTCTACTATTACAAATGAAATGTTATAGGTGCGCCTTATTCCCGAAGTGATATAAAAACACCCAAGGACAGCTTGATTTCACAAAGGTATCTAAAATGAAAGGGTTTCATGACGCGTGAATGAGTAAAGTTTACTCATTCACGTATCATGAAACCCTTTCATTGTTCTTCAAACTTGCTACCTGCGGTGGTGTCAAGTTCGGCTGCGCGATAGCTGATTTCAGGTCCTCTGCGGAGGCACTGTGAGCCCTAAGATTACCTTCCGATCGGATGGTACCCTGGCTACTGTCGAATATCATTGTCAACGCGTCATTGTGCAGTAAGCACGCATCCTCATCATTGAGCCTCGAGTGGACTTCTTTGACCAATTGCTGCAATTGGTGAAAGAGGTCCACTTGCTGGAATTCATTGATGTTATAGTTGTATTGACTGCATGCTATAAAATAACGGGCGTCGTCAAGTACCATGCGTCTGTGGAGATAGTGATG